ATTCAACAGAAAAAGTGGCGTTCCAACTGCTAAAACTTGAGGGACTTGAAAAAATAAATTATATTCTTTGTCGCAGGTAAATGATTGTTTATCAAGTATCACTGTTTCTTGTTGTCCTGTAAGGACTCTAACAAAAGTGGGCACTAATCCGGAACCGCCCTAATTAACCTTTTTTTTTTACAATAAGATATATATTGGTTTATGGAGTTAAGCGCATTAGAATATATAAGTGGAGAAAACGCGCTTTCCAAATGGTTAACTATGTACACGATTATGCTTGTGCCTTATGAATATCCAAGAAGGCTGCTCCCGTTATTCTTACCAAATCTATTTTTTGGAGGCCATTGTCACACATTATTTGTGTAACCTAAACTTAATTTATGACCATTTCCCGCAGTTTTCAGGCTATTGTTTGTTTAGCCTGCAGGCCGGGCGTTTTCTTTGAGCGCGCAATTTGCTCACGAAAGCGCCATGTTGAAACTTCCCGAAGAGAGGAGTAGATGGGGCAAGTCAAAGGGAGCGGGGAGGGGGCGTGCAGAGAGACGAGAAATTTTTTTTCGCCCCTCCCCTCCCCCTTCCACTTTCCTTCTTTCGCCCTCGCACCTACCGTAAGGGTTACTATTTCTACTCTCCCCAATCTTCCACTGTCATAAAATCAAAATGGCGGCTACAACAATATCACGAACACGAGCAAGGTTTCGCCCACCAAAAATACGCCTGCACTGCAGGCTACTGTTTTTTCAGTGTTTTTTCCTAGATAACGCGAATTAAGGGAGGGTTGGGTTAAAACCCGAATCACGAATCGCTCTTCCAAAACTCCATAGTGGAAGGGACGAAATGAAACAAAAAATCATGGTCCTAGTTTATGGCAAAGGTGGTCCAAAAAACAACAAGCATCGAGACTATGACCAAATAACTCAAACTAGCGGGAATAGTAGCCAATGCCAAATCAAACTAAATTACCTGTAATTTGTTTTTGCATTTCTCATGGATGAAGCACAGATTGACCATGCACTTTAATAAATCTAGTATTTTGTCTAAAAGCTCTTTCCATGTTTTAAGTGCGTTTTCATAAAATCTACTTGAAATGGAAAGAAATAAAAATAAAAATAAACGAAAATCATCTCTGGCTTTTGGGAAAACAGTTCTTTCCACAGGTAATCATAAGCTTAGTCATGTGTTAGGGATTTTAAGAATTATTAATGAAAGCATTATTTTAGCCTGCCAAGCGTTCGAAAGGAAAGCCCCTGGAAGGAGATTTTGATCGGGCGAGCGAGAATCCTGCCATACAAGCTCATGCAATAATAATAGTAATAATAATAATAATAATAATCATAACTATAACAAAATCCTCAAATCTGATTGGTTCTCAACTGCCCTGATTTCAGCCTTAATAGGACAGTTTAATAGAACAGTACGCGTCATGCCTAAGTAATTGGACAGTACGCGCCATCACGCGCGCGCTTAAATGGCTTTTTTTTCCTTGCTAGCGAAAAAATCTTGGAATTTCTAGTGTTTTGATTTAAAAAGAGCCCTATATATCACAAATTTTGTTAAAGCTATGATTAATTGGTAACAGAACTTCGTGTCGTCCAATTCGGTCTGTAATCATACTCGTGATTAAACAAATCGGACTCCCGCTATGCGGTCGTCCGATTTTGTTAATCACTCGTATGATTACAGACCGAATTGGACTCCACTCAGTCCTGTTACCATTACTACTACTACTACTACTACTACTAATAATAATAATAATAATAATAATAGCATAATAATAATAAATTTTATTCAAGTGTTGTGTAACTTTAGCATGGTCTTGCTAATTGGGGACACAAACAGGCTAGAGAGAATGAGCTATTCTCTCTTGAAACAGGCTAATTGTATGCGAAACTATAACATACATACCGACGGTGTCAATAGCCGTTGAATACTCCGGACATGCTGCTAGGCAGTGGAAACCAGCAACACCCTTTTTCAGACAGACATTTGCCCAGTGGCCACTGTAACAGGCATCACTAAAGATCATTGGGTAATAACAACCTTTTGGTACCATGTCAAAAATTTCTTGGATACTGATTGTCCCATCATCAAAGCACCAGTTTCCAGTACCAATCTCGCCGTGCCCAGAATAGTACAGCATAGGATGGGCCTTTTCAAGCTTGCATTTTTCAAAAAACCTGCCAATATGTCTGAGAGCTGCGCCTTTGGTTAAATATAAATCTTTAACAGTGTTGAACAACTTTGTTCCAACCACTTTTTCCATGTTGCCTAAATCAGGAGTCACACCAGCAAGAAATGTTCCATTCCTACCCCCTTGTGCATCCCGACTTCTTCTCTTAGAAATTCCTATGTCTCGTGGCGGATCCATAGCTCCCGAGAGAAGAAGCCAAAGTGGTTCCTCTCTTGCCGGATTCCACTCTGTCCACTTATCAATTCGGCCATCACTTGGTCCCTGTGCAATTGCTGAACCAGCAAATGTAGACATGGTCCTATTGGGGACGAACGTACATTTTTGTCAAACTTTCATTGTATTCTAATGAGTCGTGTGTTAAGCATACAGTTTATTTTCGGTGATGATTGAAATATCACGTTTCCTTGATTTCCCTTTATTTATCAATTCAATTCAGAAACAAATCGTTGAATACGATATAAAAAGCACAGTATCCTGAAAAATACTCGACCGTCGATAAAGTAGGAATTGAAAAACGTTTAGCAAGGAAATCCTGTTTCGTGTTGAATTAATCTCCTCCTAGACCGGAGGCAATCTTATTTTTCTTTTGAGTCAAAATAGGTCGAGAGTATAATTCTACTTTTTCGCTCGCCGCGAAAACTCTGAGGAAAGAACAACGACCGCTCGCGGTCTAATCGCCTCCTCATTTCTTTATCTTATCTCCGAGCAAACGAGACACAACTCTACTAAGAGCGTTCTTGTTGTTGTTGTATTTGGCTTCCTGCGACCGGGGGGAGCCTCGCGACATCAAACTGCGACTTGAGAAAAGTCCTGTACACGTGTAAGTTTAAAATGATAATAACAATAATAGTAAAATGTCTAAATATGAAAAAAAAATAAAAATAAAAAAGATGAATTCCTTGTTTGTTTATAAGAGCTGTGGCACTGAAATACTGGGTGTATAGTTTTTTGCAATGACCGGAAAGGGGGTTAGATATAAAGCCAATTATTGTTAAAGAATCATTATATTCACATAAATGTGGAAGCTTTAATTGTTTATAGTTGCTTGCATTGATTGTTTGATTTCTTTACAAATCAAGACTGGCCATCACTGAAAGGTTTAAATTACCTTTTATAGGGACAGTGGCATCTGCCCTCTTCAAAATTTGAAGCTCAAATTGGTGGTCGCATGGATTAAAAAAAAAGAAGGACAACAAATCCATCTGTGAGGCAGAAGATTATAAGATTTGCGTCCGTTTGTTCGAACTTAGTACTCAAAAAAAGAAACAACTTACCTAAGAAATAAACTTATCAGCAGGCTCTTATCAGGGGCACCCAACGGCAATTTTCGGGAAAATATCTGTTCGGAAGACGATTTGAGAACTAGAATTTTCGCAACATTTGTTGTAAAATTTCTTGCTTGCCTGCCTCTCCTAGGATTTTCGAACATCTACAAAATGGTATAATTACCCATTTTAAACGGATATTTACCCTAAAAGAGGCCACCTAGAATTTTCGGGAGCCTTTTTCTGGCTGAAATTTTCGAAAAGGTAAGTTTTGATCCCTATAATTTTCGGATCACTAGACTTTCAGCTAGGAAATCCGAACAGATGAAAAGTTTTTAGGGGATAAAAATATGCCTATATCTACCGTTTAAATACTAAAATACGTTCAAAAATGCTATGTTAAGTGGTTTTGAACTATATCCTCGTTGGGTGCCCCTGTCTTATCGTGTGCTCTAAGTCGACGTACGTGTTTGCTTCCTGTTTCAGGTTAAATGAGGAACACTTTAAATGTCTATAAACGTCGTCTCGGGGTCGGGGTCAGGCTTGAAAGTTTTTTTGTTTCACTTTCTGGCGATTTCCCCTAAACAAAACTAGAAACAGAAAACGAAACAAAATAACAACATAGACTTAAAAACAGTTTAACTTGGTTTAAGCTATGACCACTAAGCCTAGCAAAGAAATGAAAAAAAAAATCTTTGAAATTGGGGCCAACCGTTTGACTTTTGAGAGGGGAGGTGGGGGTGGGTGATTCAGTGGAAAAAAAATATCCTGCAGACTGATTTCAAAGGAAAAATATCTCTCAAGGAAATACCTGACATACAATGACGTTGTATGTCAGGGCAAAAAAAATACATGTCACCAGAGGGTTAAGAAAAAAGAAATCTTTCCCAAATCAAATCACCCATATCGTCCCCGACCCCCTCAAAAGTCAAATGGTTGGGCCCTTGGAACATTCCAAAGTCGTAGTGACGTGTGCGTCAACATCGCCATGGCAACCAAGTTTTGACAGACCTGTGTGGACTTATATCTGTAGCAAATTTGGCAACCGAAAATGAAAGGGAAAAGTTCCACGCACTATTGCCGGTAAATTGTTTTCGTGCCCAGATCAGATGTGTTTCCCCCTTGCAATTAATATTTTTCCCACCCTAGGACAATTAAAGTAACACAATTAAAAAAAAAAACGGCAATTTGCTATCGAAATGACCTTTTATAGGGACAGTCGCATCTGCCCTCTTCAAAATTTAAAGCTCAAATTGGTGGTCGCATGGATTAAAAAAAAAAAGAAGCACAACAAAGCCATCTGTGAGGCAGAAGATTATAAGATTTGCGTCCGTTTGTTCGAACTTAATACTCAAAAAAAGAAACAACTTACCTAAGAAATAAAATTATCAGCAGGCTCTTATCGTGTGCTCTAAGTCGACGTACGTGTTTGCTTCCTGTTTCAGGTTAAATGAGGAACACTTTAAATGTCTATAAACGTCGTCTCGAGGTCGGGGTCAGGCTTGAAAGTTTTTTTGTTTCACTTTCTGGCGACTTCCCCTAAACAAAACTAGAAACAGAAAACGAAACAAAATAACAACATAGACTTAAAAACTGTTTAACTTGGTTTAAAAAAAAAAACGGCAATTTGCTATCGAAATTCCAAGGGACAGTACTGAACAATCTGAAAAAGTCGAAGTGCAGTTGCTTTAAACCTATTCAGACCGGGCTTTTTTTTTTTTTTTTTTTTTTCGCTTCCTGCGACCGGGGGAAGCCTCGGGACACCGAGCTGTGTTTATTAAGAAAAATCCTGTACATATAGTAAAATGACTAAAATTAATATGAAAAAAAAAATCAAAAAGATGAATTCCTTGTTTAATTTGTTTATAAGACAGGGGGACCCAACGACAATTTTCGGAAAATATCTGTTCGGAAGACGATTTGCGATCTAGAATTTTCGGAACATTTGTTGTAAAATTTCTTGCTTGCCTACCTCTCCTAGGATTTTCGAACATCTAAAAAATGGTAAAATTGCCCATTTTTAACTGTTTTTTACCCTTAAAAGGTCACCTAGAATTTTCGGGAGCCTTTTTTCTGGCTGAAATGTTCGAAAAGGTGAGTTTTGATCCCTATAATTTTCGGATTACTAGATTTTCAGCTAGGAAATCCGAACAGATGAGGAATTTCTAGGGGATAAAAATATGCCTGTATCTACTGTTCAAATACAAAAATACGTTTAACAATGCTATGTAAGTGGTTTTGAACTATCTTCTCGTTGGGTGCCCCTGATAAGAGCTGTGACACTGAAATATTGGCCGGTGGGTGTATAGTTTTTCCCAATCCCACTTGCACTAAAAGGGAATTAGATATAACGCCAATTATTGTTAAAAAAAGTTATTATATTCACATAAATGTGGAAGCTTTAATTGTTTATGGTTGCTTGCATTGATTGTTTGATTTCTTTACAAATCAAGACTGGCCATCACTGAAAGGTTTAAGTTACCTTTTATAGGGACAGTCGCATCTGCCCTCTTTAAAATTTAAAGCTCAAATTGGTGGTCGCATGGATTAAAAAAAAAAGAAGAAGCACAACAAAGCCATCTGTGAGGCAGAAGATTATAAGATTTGCGTCCGTTTGTTCGAACTTAGTACTCAAAAAAAGAAACAACTTACCTAAGAAATAAAATTATCAGCGGGCTCTTATCGTGTGCTCTAAGTCGACGTACGTGTTTGCTTCCTGTTTCAGGTTAAATGAGGAACACTTTAAATGTCTATAAACGTCGTCTCGGGGTCGGGGTCAGGCTTGAAAGTTTTTTTGTTTCACTTTCTGGCGATTTCCCCTAAACAAAACTAGAATCAGAAAACGAAACAAAATAACAACATAGACTTAAAAACTGTTTAACTTGGTTTAAGCTATGACCACTAAGCCTAGCAAAGAAATGAAAAAAAAAATCTTTGAAATTGGGGCCAACCGTTTGACTTTTGAGAGGGGAGGTGGGGGTGGGTGATTCAGTGGAAAAAAAATATCCTGCAGACTGATTTCAAAGGAAAAATATCTCTCAAGGAAATACCTGACATACAATGACGTTGTATGTCAGGGCAAAAAAAATACATGTCACCAGAGGGTTAAGAAAAAAGAAATCTTTCCCAAATCAAATCACCCATATCGTCCCCGACCCCCTCAAAAGTCAAATGGTTGGGCCCTTGGAACATTCCAAAGTCGTAGTGACGTGTGCGTCAACATCGCCATGGCAACCAAGTTTTGACAGACCTGTGTGGACTTATATCTGTAGCAAATTTGGCAACCGAAAATGAAAGGGAAAAGTTCCACGCACTATTGCCGGTAAATTGTTTTCGTGCCCAGATCAGATGTGTTTCCCCCTTGCAATTAATATTTTTCCCACCCTAGGACAATTAAAGTAACACAATTTAAAAAAAAAACGGCAATTTGCTATCGAAATTCCAAGGTACAGTACTGAACAATCTCAAAAAGTCGAAGTGCAGTTGCTTTAAACCTATTCAGACCGGGCTTTTTTTTTTTTTTTTTTTTTTTGCTTCCTGCGACTGGGGGAAGCCTCGGGACACCGAGCTGTGTTTATTAAGAAAAATCCTGTACATATAGTAAAATGACTAAAATTAATATGAAAAAAAAATCAAAAAGATGAATTCCTTATTTAATTTGTTTATAAGACAGGGGCACCCAACGACAATTTGCGATCTAGAATTCTCGGAACATTTGTTGTAAAATTTCTTGCTTGCCTGCCTCTCCTAGGATTTTCGAACATCTAAAAAATGGTATAATTGCCCATTTTTAACTGTTTTTTACCCTTAAAAGATCACCTAGAATTTTCGGGAGCCTTTTTTCTGGCTGAAATGTTCGAAAAGGTGAGTTTTGATCCCTATAATATTCGGATTACTAGACTTTCAGCTAGGAAATCCGAACAGATGAGGAATTTCTAGGGGATAAAAATATGCCTGTATCTACTGTTTAAATACAAAAATACGTTTAACAATGCTATGTAAGTGGTTTTGAACTATCTTCTCGTTGGGTGCCCCTGATACGAG